GGCCAATTCATGGCAAACATCCAGGGTGTGAAAACGCATTCCTGGGGAGAGGCCTGCAGTTTAGGGTAGAAGGTGGGGAGGTGCACAGATTGGTTGAGGTGAAATGGGAAGGAAACTTTGGAGAGGAATTTGGGATGGAGACAAAGGGAGACCTTGTCCTTCTGCAAAACAGTAAAGGGGGGTCCTGCCATCATGGCTGCTAGGTTCACTAACTCACCTTAGAGAGATGATGGCCACCAAGAAGATCACCTTCATGGAAAGATCTGGGCGAGGGAGCATGTTGCAAGCGGCTCAAATGGTGGTTTGGTGAGGGCCAAGAGGATGAGGTTAAGGTCCCAGAGAGGAGTAGGCTTTCATATGGTGGGGAAGGCGCTGAGAAAGCTATGAAAAAAGGAGGAGGTAGTCGGGTGGGTGAAGATGGAGAAATCGAAGCACTGAGCACCGCCAGGTGGATGCAGACAGAAGAGTGGGTGAGGCCTGACTGATGGAGGTGGAGGAGGTAGTCCAGAATGGCAGGAACGGAGATAGTCCAAGGGGAGCCAAGCGACAAAATGGCACCCTTTGGCTTGGTAACATGCCCTAGTAGATGGGTGGCAACTCTGGGAAAGGATGCCACGAACAGGAGAGGAACATGCGTTGTCTACGCATAAGCCCCATCAAATACCAGGCCATGAAGTGGAAAGGACCCAGGTTGGGGTGGTGTAGTCAGCCATGTTGTGTGAGGAGATTCAGGATGTCCGGAAGACGTATCTAGGGGTCAACAGAGAGGTGGAGGAGAGCCATGTACCAATACCGGCGGAGCGAGGAGGGAGCTCCGAGGAGAAGAGTTGTGCAATTTCACCGTACTTTGCGGAGGACTTGGGGAAGTAAGGAAACAGGGAGGAAAGCATAGCATAGACTGGGGGCACAGGGAACGAGGAGAGCGTTGCCCTAGGAGCCTGGGCCAAGAGCACCTGTGTAGCAAAAAGAGGAGAAGTTTGTGGTTTTCTGGCACGGCAAAGAGGTCCCAAGTCAGCATGCCCCACAGGTGGAAAAGGGACCGGAGTTGTAAAGTTCCCACTTGTGATTGGCATGGAAGGAGTGGCTGAGCATGTCTACCATGGAGTTGCTGGTTCCAGGAAGATGTACTGCCTGCAACATGTCGTCGTGCTGGAGGCACCAGTTCCACAGGAGGATGGCCTTGGTAGAGAGAGGGGGATTGGGCTCCACCCTGCTTGTTGACGTAAACAACAGCCGTCATGTTGTCCAACAGCAGTTGTACATAGGGGGATCGAAGGAGAGGTAGGAAGGCCCGGCAGGCAAGGCAAACAGCTTGCAGCTCTAAGATGCCGAGATGCATCCGTGCTTCCCTGAGTGACCAGAGGCCCTGAGCCACATGGTCGTCTAGATGAGCGCCCCAGCCAACGAGCAAAGCATCTGTCGCGAGGGTAAGGTGGGGTGTGGGAGGTGCGAAGGGAACGCCAGTCAAAACTGTGGCTGGATTGCGCCACCAGGTGAGAGAGGCGAGAACTGGTGGAGGAATGAGAACCCATTTTGTTGAGGTGGTCGGACTGCAGGTTGTAGATGGATGGAGCCACAGTTGGAGGCAGCACAAATGGAGACGGGTGTATGGGGTAACGGAGATGCAGGATGCCACATGACCCAGAAGGGAGAGGCAAGACGGATGTGCGTATACAGGTGTTAGCAGAGCTGTGCAAGGAGGGTGATGAGAGTGGGGAAGCATTCTGAGGGAAGGTAAGCCCAGGCCGCAACGAGCACTTATAAAGGTGAGGGAATGGGTAGCGGTGAAGATAGACTTTTCCTCATTGATGAAAACCCCTAGGGCGCCAAGGAGGGCACGCAGAGTTTGAATAGTGGTGAGGAGATGGGCTTGGGATGATGCCATGAAGAGCCAATCATTTAGGCATGGGAACACAGAATGGCCCAGGCGGTGCTGACACAAGGGCAAAGACCTTTGTGAAGATGCGGAGGGCGTTAGCAATCCCAAAGGGGAGGGCCCAGAACTGATAATAAGAGTGTTTGACTGTGAAGCAGAGGAACTTGCGATGGGCAGGGTGGATGTCGATATGGAAATATAAATAAAGGATGCCTTCATACTGTGAACCAAGCTCCATGGGGAGAGGGGGAATAATGAGGGGGAGGGTGAACCATGAGGAAATGGAAGTTGCAAATAAATTTGTTCAGAAGGCGGAGGTCCAAAACAGGACTGAGGCCACTGTCCTTCAAAAAGAGGAAATAGGGGAACAGAAGCCCCAGCAGCGCTTGAGTTGGAAGGCATATGCTTCCTTCTGGAGGAGGGGTGAGTGTGATAATGTGGCAGGGTGCTCCCGGGATGGGCAGCAAGTTGGGAAGGAGATAAACTCAATCAGGTACCCACAATTAACAATGTCCAGCACCCAGCAGTCTGTGGTAATGTTGCCCCAGTTGTGAGCAAAGAGGGCAAGGTGACCCTCGAAAACCACCTGTGGAGTGGCCGGAAGGTGGTGGGGCGGTTAATGGATCTCAGGGAAGGAGTCAAAAGGGCTGCTTTGAGGAATGTTGGAGACAGATGAAGAAGCAGTGGCAGGGTAGCAAAGTCGCTGGGTGCACAGGCGGTGCCGAAAAGAATAGGGCTGGTGGTAAGGCTGGTATGTGGTCTGAGGGCGGGGTCAGAAGGACGACAGTTGTTGGTAACGGGGGGGGCGGGGGGAGAAGGCCCAGGGACTGGAGAGTGGCACAGGAGTCCTTGAGGAAGTATAGGGACTCATCCACCTCGAAGCTGAACAACTTATGGTTGTCAAAGGGAAAGTCCTCAAGGGTGGTTTGGACCTCTTTTGGGAAGCCACTGGATTGAAGCCAGAAATCCCAGTGAAGGACGACCCCGGATGTTAGCAAGCAGGATGCAGTATTGGCAGCATCAACCACAGCCTGGACAGCAACCTTGGCCACCAACTTGCCTTCATCCAGTTGACATTGGAAGTCTTGTTGCTTCTCTGGGGGAAAGGAAGGCCTGTAAGTCTGCAGGCTTGGAGTATGATAGGAATTCATACTTGGCCAAGATGGCGATGCAGAATTGAAGGCCAGCAGAGGAGCAGACCTTACAGCCCATGAGGTCCAACTTCTTGGCAGCCCAATCAGGGATGTAGACCACAGGTGTTGGCAGGAGTGCTCGGTCACAGCTTGGACCACCAGCGAGTTAAGGAGAGGGTGGGTGAAAAAGTCCATGCCCTTCGAAGGAATGCAATAGTGGCATTCCACCCGCTTCGGTGTTGGGGCACAGGAAGCTGGGGTGTGCCAGTCTGGGCCGGTTGTAAGAGTGCATTGTGAATGGGGAGGGCAATATGCGAGGGTCCAGGAGATCCTAGGATGTCCAAGAATTGATCCTGTGGGTCCTGGACATCTTGGACAGGCAGATTGAGGGTGTCGGTCATACGTTGAAATACTCCTGGTACTGCAGTAGGTCAACAGAAGATAAGAGTGTAGGAGGGATGATGGCATCATCGGGAGACAAGGAAGCGCCTGTATGGACTGGGGTTGGTAAGGTCACTGTCAGTAACACCAGTGCCGCCGGAACAGGGACAGCCTGTGGGTCCTCAAAGATGGAGGAAGGGGCCACGTGCGTTGGGGATGGACAGTGTCACAAGTGAGCTCGCATGCCATGGTCATGGTAGGGCTTCCACATGGCCCAGTATGGCCCGGCATATGGGTCGCCAGGTGGCGGTGGTGCTCGGAAGTAATGATACCATGGATTGGCCGGTAGGGCGTATGCGGGAGGGTATGGATGGCACTGAAGGTCCGGGCTGTAGGACCGTACAGGCGAGAATGCGGTGTTCAATTCGGAAGACCACTTAGATTGGGAAGACAGGTCGGGTAGGGGCAGAGCCGTCAGGACCGCTGGCATGGGAGGACAGTCCAGGAGCAACAGTAGATGGGCCCGGCGTAGAAAAGCGGAGAAGGTTGGAATAGGAGCAGCTCGTCCACAGGGGATGGTAGGCGAATAGTGACAGAGGTCCCGGGACAGGGCGGGGAGACCACGTATGGCAGACTTAGCTCAGCCGTTGGTGTAAGGGGAGATAAGCGTCCTGGCGTACATGGTACTGGGCAGGTATGTCTGGATGGACTTGGCAGGCTGAACAGAGCCAGAGGCGACAGTGGCAGGCCAGACACCGTGGCCGGTGGCAGTGCCAGTGGAGCGCGGGTCTTAGATTTGTGCTCAGAGCAGGACTTCTTTGGAGAAGGAGTGTCTGAGTTGGCAAGCAACTTCTTACCCGGCCTGGCATGGCTCAGGGAGGCAACACTGCTTGGAGGCAGTTGCCATCAGGGAGCACCCTTTGTGCCCATGAGTGTGCTTTTTATGCAACTGGTGCTGGGTGGGGTGGCTCTGGAGAGGTGTTCACTACCAGTGTTGAACCCTGTTCCAGCAGATCCTGGAAGCACACGTGGTTGCGTCGCATTGCCTCTTCCATGAGGTTTTTGCGGAGGTGATGTTCTCTGGCCTTGCGGATGCGTGACAGAAACGATCGACAAATAGAGCAGTGGGCAGCAACATGAGCTTCGCCACAGCAATGTTGGTGCTCGTCGCTCACAGAAAAGGACTGCAGACACGAAGCACAGTATTTGAACCCAGCTTGCCGGGCAAAAAGTTTCCAGAGGGGAGAAGTCCAGGGGAAACAGCTAACTAACTAACGATAAACAAATAAGTAAACTACAAAAAACTAACTCAGAAGAAAAAACTATGTACAATGGACAGAAGCAGTTCTCTTATCAAGCTAAGAGCAGCAAGGAACAGGGGTTCCGACTCTGGCCACGTGGCGGTAAGAGGGAAATGGAGCGGCGTCGACCCACGCAACCTCTTAAAGCCTCAGCACGCGCGGATCAACGGACACTACTATGAACAGTTTCGGCTCCGGCATCTGGCATGCCGCACCCACTTTTGGAATCCACATAGGGACTATCACTCGAAGAAGAAATGCTGGTTTAAACACAGAGTGTGATAGTATTAGCAGCATGGTGCTGTATACCTTCTCCTGCAGGATCTTGGTCTCTGTGTAATAGTCGATGGGCTTCTTTGCATAAGGGAGGTCTTCTGTTCCATTCTTGATGTCTGTGCCCTCAAAGACTACACTGGCACTGCTGGTTAACACCAGTTTCTGACAATGGTTAGGGAAGAAACGTAATGTATTAGAGGATAAGCCAAAAGATATATTGTTTACAAAGGCTGCATGAAAAGTCAATGTGAAGGAACAATATTAGCCTCTTCTTGGCTAGTTCTACAGAGAATGCAGAAGTTTCTTTTAGAGATGCTTTAATTGAAAGTGATCTGAAAATTACAGGTTATAAAAACCCCATATTCATAATTGAGCTCCATTAGACGGCACATACTGGCGGATCAGATGCCAGCTCTTACCCATGCTGCAGGCATTAGCTAAGAACTGACAAACTCATAGCTGGAAACCAGACCAGTTCACCTGTATGTTAGTTTTGCTCAAAAAAACTAACGTATTTAATGTTTAGACTCTATGAAATGCTTGTAAAATTTTGCATGCATTAATCTCATTTGTAATGTTGGTATTCCATACTAAGAAAATGCGTAAGTTTTGCTTTATAACTTTGAAAATATTTACTCTGAACTTGTGAACCCAGGCATCCCGGTCATCCCAAAGGGCTATCAAAATCAGATGGGCCATCAAGGAACATCGCAATACAATGGACTGGTTAATGGGCCTCTCGCACCTGGGAAATTCTAATAAAAGAAGTCACAGGAAGATTTTTTCTCTCTTTGCAGTTTGAACTCTCACAGGGCCAGAGCTACCAAACTGAAGCCAGAGATCCCCAGGGGCTGTCTCCTGGGTCTGCTCTGAAAGATACTTTGAATTGACAGATTACTACAACTCTGTCACCCTTAGAATTTAGATGGTAAGTCATTTGTGTGTATACGTTTGCTTGCTTTAAGTTGTAACTAACTCTTCCCCCCAGTTAATAAACCTTTAGATACACCTCTACCCCGATATAACGCGACCCGATAGAACACAAATTCAGATATAACGCAGTAAAGCAGTGCTCCGGGGGGCGGGGGGGGGGGCTGCGCACTCCGGTGGATCAAAGCAAGTTCGATATAACACGGTTTCACCTATAACACGGTAATATTTTTTGGCTCCCGAGGACAGCGTTATATCGGGGTAGAGGTGTAGTTTATTACAAGACTGGCTACAGGCATGGTCTTTGGCGTAAAATCTAGGGAACCAATTGATTTGGGGTAAGTAACTGGTCTCTTGGGATTGGAAGCAATGTGAATATGGTATGGTTTTTGGTGTACATAACCATTTATCACCAAGTCCAGTTTGTCTGGATGACAAGATAGACTGGAGAGTCTAAGAGGACTATCTGACTCTATGCTAAAACTGTTACAGTGATGCAGGAGTTCACATTTGGTGAAATCTAATTATAGAATACATCACCAGTTTGCAGTATCTGCCCTGGTTCTGACAATCTGCCCTGAGATAGAAACTCATGGTTTTGACCCACTGCAGACCACCTGACAACATAAACGTCTCATAATATATCCTACTAAGGATGAAATAATCCTACTGAAATGACAAAATGCTTCAGAAACAGGTGAAGTGGACACTTCAGAAAATTTCCAGTGTTGTCAATCAAGAGAGAAAAATAGTTTGCAAGGAGAAGTTGAATGCCCACTTAGCCTGCTTTCCTGGCACATTTCAACTCTTAATACCAGTGTGTGCTTTTTAAGAGGTATTTGCTAGTCTTTAAAGTATCTTAAAAATATTTTTATGCTACATTTGTTGGAATATGATATGGCCCAGCAGATTTGAAATGGGAAGTCAAAGATATATAGATGATCAGAAATACCATCAACCAAATTACCCTCTGAAACTCGACTTTTTAATCTTTTACAGTTTAAAAGAGACATTATTTTCTGCCTAAAGTTCTGGACTCAGATGTACTCCTTGTTCTGACGAATCCCAGTATGAAGCCTGAAGGTAAACAACACATGGCCCATTTTCCTCCCAGCAGCCTATTATAGAAAGAAAGCAATTGTGGGGTGGGAGTCCATACTTGACATGCATCATTTAATTCTGTGTATTGTTTTAGTAATTCTGTATTTCCACCCGGAGACTGTACAATGGGTGTATTTCATAAGCAACTTTCCCTCCACCAAAAAATAAAGTCTCTCATTCATCCAGTGCTCAAGGATTTCAATATGCAGAAATTGAAATAAAAAGCTCATGTGATGTTAGAAAGACCAAGGGGAAAATGGTGCACTTGTCTTATAGTTACTATTGGAGTCATTAAGTTGACATTTCTTTAATGCCACTATTGTTCTATATCCTTGTATCAGGACTTCAGCATCTCATGTCCCCCCCATACACTGTTCTACTCTTACCTGAACCCCAGCTTCTTTGCAGGCTTCAATGACAGTTTTGGTCCCCATAAAATTCACCTTGTAAAACAGATCCCTGTTGTCACTGGAAGGTGCTGGTGAAGCACAGTGAAAAGCCACTGTCACACCTTGTAGAGCTGGGAACAGGTCCTAGGGGGACAGATGAGACAAGGCACCAGTGAAAACACCAGGAGTACTTTCCATTTGGAAAGTGTATAGGTTATATGAACACACACATGCCCACATTTTTCTTATGAAACATAACAGCCACATCATCTTCATGAAGCTGAAGAGTCGAGATATAGGACCAGCTCTTGTATCTCCAGACCTCTTACTGCTAGGCAGGAAGTTCCATTTGTTGTTCCCCCCCCCCCAGGAAAAAAACCCAGAAGCTTCCTAAGGTTTGGAAACTAGCCACACCCAGCTAGTCAGGTGCAGGCAGAAGGCCAAGGACGTCTCAGATAGGAGTTAAAAACTCAGCATGGAACCCTTCCAAGGATTTAACCCCCAAATCCCAACGTTACTGCCCAGCTTTATGGTGCATCCCTCGTAAGGAGTACATCATGCCTGTGGAGGAGTCTAAGACAAATGCAGCAATTTATTTCCAAGACACATCGTGATGCATGTCTCCACATTGCAAGGCAGGTATAAGCCCTGTCCTTGTACAGATACAAGCTAAAACAACCAAGGACTGTTCCAAAGAGTTCAAGAAGAGTCCCCTCCTTAGGGATTATTTTTAGCCACTGGTGAAAGAGAAGCGAAGGACTGCACTGGCAAAGAGGGGACATAGTTGATCAACCTTTCACAAGGTCGTACTGCAACCCTTCCACAAAATACTGCTGTAGCGTTGACCTTCCCACCTTTCAAGGAACACATTACATGTCTCATACAAAAATTGAGTCAATTACCTTGGGGAATGTGCCTCTACGAGATCCTAAGCTCAGTCTATATATTTCACTTTTGTTTCCTAACACAGTATTATATTTGTCAGCTCTGTTCATACTATACCTTTTTACTGCAGAGATCTCCCAGGAAAAACTGCACTTTATCATTCTCAAACCCCTTTTGGATATCAAACACATTGACTGTGTAGCCTTTCTCCAGCAGCCTCTCCACCATGTGTTGGCCTAAGAATCCTGAGCCACCTATCACGGTGCATTTCTTACTGGCCTGCAGAGGCAAGAAGGGGAGAGAAGTATCATAACAAGCAGACATACTTGTGAAGTCTTTCAGTAAAACCAGGCTTGAACTTCACAGGATCATAGGAGTGATGATCTCAGTCGCTTGGCTGAAGTTCAGAATTCAAGTTTTCCACTGCTGCAGTTAGACAAGTCAGTAATTAGGCTGATCAGAGGAATCTGAATCCAGGTATTAAGCAACTCACTGGCACAGCTTATGTCCTTTGTAAGAAGATCCTGTCTCATTCCCTCTCATTGACTAGGTTTATCCTGACTGTATTTACCTTCCCAAGAGGTTGATTATATTGCGAAATTTCATTAGACTAATTTATTTTGTTTAATTTCCCAGTTCTTGTATCAAGCAGTCTGAAACTGCTCAAGAGCCAGAGACACGGGAAACAAGAGCTTAGCCACCCCTAAAAATATGATGAACCAAGTTCTACACAATCCTATCTGACTTTATGTACTGATTCACAACCCATGTAATGCCACTAATTTAGCTCAGATATAAAACAAACAGCTATCTACCCCCTCCCCCATTCTGCCAATGAGCCCCACTCTTTATATATTCCATTTGCTCACTCATTTACCAAATCTCAATCTCTAGAGCACTCAGATCGCAAAATTCTTGTCTACTTCGATACATACATGTATTTCATACTGTGCAGGCAGTGTATCTACAAACACAAGCATGAATGATAGGTGCAGTTGTAGATCCAAGTGTCTCTTAAAATCAATGAGAACGAAGTCCACGCTGGCTGTCAGTAGCTCCTAGTCTCCAGCAGTTTCCTTCATATATAGCTGTAACCCTCCCACAAACTTAGCTTGCTGTAGTTTATTCCAATACAGTTTCATTCTCAGTGATGGAAAGGAGCAGGTGAAACTAGTTCTCACACAAAGCTTGGAGCAGGACTAATGGGTCCAAAACCAGGAAGGCAGCCAAGCAGATACAGCTTATCCTTTTAATTAATCCTTAGCCTTTCTTCTATGAAGACATTGGTCAGAGTCAATATCAGGCACTCTGGTCTGAGTACTCACCTGCCTGAAATAAGACCAGTGACCTATCTGCTCAGCACCAGCACAGAGTGAGCAACTGAGGTTTTGCAGAAGAGCTTTGTACAGAGAACCCTCTGTCCTGGTTGCAAATAGATTTGCTCCTATTGTTACTACACAAAAACTCACCTCAGCAAACCTTCTACAGAGTTCAAGGGGAAAATTATCCTAGTGAAACTGCCCAAGGCAGGTGATTGTTCAATGGATTCTAAGTGCTGTGTCTTTAGACAGGGATCCCATTGCAGAGTACCAGTTTTCCAGAACGGAGATGAGAAAAAAATATTTCCTTTGAACTTACTGGTCTGAGTTGTGTGGCCATTTCTTGGAGGATTCACTGCAAATCTAATTCCTAAAAAAAAAAAAAAGTTAATACTTTACATATCACATTTAAGTGGCGCAAAAACAAACACCTGCCATTTAAACTGGAAAACACAGATTTTTCCCATATAACATTACCACAGCAGATAAGTAACTTGGATCAATCTTGTACACTTTACTCGCTAGCATCGTCCTCGTAGGGAGAGCACACTGTTTTTGTGTAGGTCCCACAAAAATAAAATGGCTATTTTTTATAAAACTTCTCAGCAACATAGTTGAGCTCTTATTATTATTTTAAGCTCCAGAAAATACATAAATTATTGAAATTCAATTTGATATAAAGATTCCACATCAATGACAGTACTCCAAACAGGTTTATGTAGCTCAGGTAATTGTGTATTTGTGGAAAAATGCCTCTTAATCAGCAAATCCTTCTCATTTTAGCCAGTTTAAACTGCCGTGTCATCTCTGAATTGAACACTAGAATGCAAACACATCAGCAGACTGTGCAATATAATTCCCAGAGAGCAGTCTGGGAGTGGGGCAGAAGTTCCCTGTAAATGTGGGGGATTGAGGGGTGGTACTAAGACTCAGCCAGGAAATGCAGTGTTTCTAGGCTGGGAAGGAGGCTCCCAGGGGTCCCCGCCTACTCCAGCCCCTGCAGGTCCCACTCTCTGGCCTAACCCCCAACCCATGGTAGCCACTCCAGCCTCTCTGGCTCCCACTCTTACCTCCCCTCCCAGGTATGAGTTTATTGTGTGACTATTGCAGGGGTGGGGGCTAGACCGCCCCCCGAGTTCCACCACTCTGGGAGCAGCCATACTGGGCCCATCAATAACTACGGCAGATTTGTTGAGGTCCATCTGCACAACATCCAGAGGCAGAGGAACCAATGGCCACATGGTTTATCCTTAGCCAGGACAGGACTGAAGCACTATAATATAAAAATATTTTCTAATAATAATGGTAGTGCAAACTCCCAAATTGGAACTAGGGCCCCATTGTGCTGAGCACTGTACAACAGAGAAAAGAGACAATCCCTACCCTGAATTGCTTACAATTTAAAGACAAAAAGAATGAGACTATAACATAAGCAAATGAATCCGGTGAGGAATTGGCCCCGCTTATTTAGTTACATTGAAAACAAACAAGGTACACTAACTGGAGAGGAAGAATCACAGCTTGTCTCTAGACGAGCTATGTTTAACAGGCTCGGGTTTGTAGGTATAACAGCAAAGGTGACTCTTAAGGAAGAATTTGAGGTTAAGTTAGTGGCTGTTAGGATTTTATCAGGGAGATTTTGCCAGGGAAGAGTAGTATTGTCAGTCCCCAGTCTTCAAAAATCAGAGTCTGGCCCTGAAAAATCATTAGATTGGCTTAAAATTCATAACGTATTTTACATGATAAAAGATGTCTGTGCCTTCACAGTGCACCTGCTTCCTCATCAGGACGGCTAGAAACTTTCTTTAAAAGAATGAAAACTGAAGTACTGTACTGTATAGCAGTTCCAGCAGCTGGAGCTTTAATAAAAGCACAAGTGTTGGCAACATGGGAGAGAGCCGAGAGGTGAGTCCCTGCCCCGGGCTGAAGCCTAGGGGGATACCACCCCTCCCAAGACCCATATTAAAATGATACATGTGAATGACAAACACAGCCCATAACTTCCCCTGTTCATGGGCGGCGAGTTCTATGGGCCCTTGGTGCCCGGGCACCAGGAATACCCCTGGCCCAGGGGCCTGGCTCCAGCAAAGTTTCCCTCCCCACCCCACCGCATCTCCCAGCCCACCTGCTGCCCCCGGGCAATTTAAAACAGCCGGGCTGAGCGGCTTCTTGTGCGCTCATTCCACGTGGCTGCCCGCACGTCCTTGCAACCCATGGGGGCGGGGGCAGCAGCCCCTGGCCCAAATGTCCCTGTGGCCAATGGGAAGCTGCAGGGGTGGTGCCTGGGGACAGCAACACAAGGAGACCCCCGGCCTGCCCCGCCTAGGAGCCGCTGCCGGAGGAGGTGCCCCAGGTAAGCACCGAACCTCCCTCCCATCCACTTCCAGAGCCTGCACCCACACCCCCTCCGCACACACACCTTCCGGCCCCCAAATTTCCTCCCCCACCCAAACTCCCCCCCCCGAGCCCTACCTCTCACCCCCCGAGCCCGACCTCTCACCCCTTCTGCACCTGAACTCCCTCTCAGAACCTGCACACCAATCCCCTGCCCCAGCCCAGAGCCTGCACCCCAGACCCCGCACCCCAGACCCCCTCTCCCACCAAACTCCCTCCCTGAGCCCAACCCCTCACACCCCCTGCACCCAAACTCTCTCCCAGAGCCTGACCTCTCACCCCTTCTGCACCCAAACTCCCTCTCAGAGCCTACACCTCTCCTGCACCCCAATCCCCTGCCCCACACCAGAGCCTGCACCCCAGATCCCCTCCCCCACCCAAACTCCCTCCCAGCGCCTTAGGCAGGTGTGGGGGGGGGAGTTTGGGGGGGGCGGGTTCTGGGCACCACCAAAATTTCTACAAACCTGCCCTTGTTCCTATAGCCCAAGGACTCCCATTGTCCCGAACCCCCCCCACAACCAGCCTTCAGGACTCCCCACCCACAGGCCCCTACGGCCCTGAGCACCCAGACACCCTCCCTCCAGCTCTGGCCCCTCCTAGCCCTCTCCCCACAGCTCGCCCGTGTACCCCCAACCTCCTGCCACAGCCCTTGCCCACCCCTACCTGGCGCCCAGCCCCGGGAAGAAGCAGGCAGGACCCCTACACCACTGCTGCTTTCACCAGTCCCGCCCCAGCCTCCAGGGACACAGGCACCCCCTCAACCCGCCAAGGAGCAACAGTCTTTCCTGCCCGCTCCGCCCTTCTCGCAGCGCAGCCCAGCCCAGCCCCTGGTCCGAGAATCAGGCGAGCCCCCAACGCACTCACTGATTGGTGTCCTAGATACTCCGCTTCAGCCAATCGACTTGGCAAAAGGCGGAATAGACCCCCCCCCTTCTTCCGGATCCGCCCACTAAGCGTCTTGACCAATCGGCATAGGATCGGGTCTCCAGAGCGAGGCCTTTAAGCAATGGGAAACGTGATTGCTATGGCATCAGGGTAGAACTATTGACTTATGGGGAAAGCTGCCGTTGATACTGTGCCCGCCCCTTTTTTTCTGTTCGGAGCGGAGGCGCTGCTCCAGCGGCACCGGCTGCGGGATGGTGAGGGGGGCCGAGGGCTGTCCGGGCTGGAGGACGGGGCGGGGGCACAACACGGCGTGGCGCGGGCTAGGCCGGCTGCTTGATGGAGTGACCGCAGTGTAGTGCAGAAGCAGTAGGCCCCGAAGCCTGTCACAGGGATTTAGCAACCCCAACCCTACACAGCGGCTGGGGGAGTGGGCCCTGGGGTGGTCAGCGCCCCGGGGGAGGCAGCCCTGAGGTCCAAGGGGCTGGGTCCGGGCTGGCATGGCAGGTACAGAGTTCCTAGCTGCATCCTTACCTGTGCTGTAGTGGCGCTTCCAAGGTTGCTGCAGGCCCCACATGCGCGGATCCTCCTCCCACCCCGCCGTAATAACACCACCACCCAGCCCTTATCATCAGTCGATCTCAAAGTACTTTACAAAGGAGGGCAGTAGTATTATCCCCATTTTACAGATGGGGAAACTGAGTCACAGAGCAGGGACATTACTTACTGAAGGTCACCCTGCAGGCTAATAACAGTGCTGGGATTAGAACCAGCTCTTCTGAGACTGGTTCAGTGCTAATCCATTAGGCTACATTGCCACAATGTGTTGCTCCAGTTGATCTAGGTGGCATGGCCCAGCTAGGCAACAGGCCCTAGTGTGTGCTACATGGTGCTGGTCCCAGCTGCGTGGCTTGCAAAGATATTCTGGTGTGCACTGTATCATCTTGATCCCAACTATGTAGCCAGGGCTGTCCCTAGGGGGGTGTGGGGCCTGGGACTACCTCCCTCTGCCCCAGGCCCCACCCCCACTCCACCCTTTCCCTTAAGCCCCCACCCCGCCTCTTCCCCTGCCTCTTTCTGGCTTCCGCCCCCTCCTCCGAGCGACACTGGGAGCTGGCGGGGAGGGCTGGGGTCACTGCTGCTGCTTTCCGCCGGTGAGTGCAGGCCTGACCTTTGCTGCCGGTGCCAGCCTGCCCCCCACCCCACCCTAATCACACACACCCTGGGCGGCCTAGCACCCCCCCCGCACAACACACTCACAGAGCCGTCCCTAGGGTACGGCGATTCAGGGCAGCCGCCACGGGGCTCCCCAAAGCGCGGGGCCTGGGGTCCGCCCTGATTCGCCATACCCTAGGGACAGCTCTGCATGTAGCCTGCAAAAATTACCAGTCTCAGCGTACATTGCACTATCTCAGTTTCAATGCACTTATATACAAATATAGATGGAGCATAATATGCAGGGACCTATCATCCCTGCAAGTTACACCTTCAGGCTGGAACCTTCTGTCTTCACAAGACATACCTCTGTCCTTTAAAAGGGCAGCTTGTTAGATTTTTGTGTGGCCACATTGTGTATTGTTCTCTGGCTTCTCTGGAAATCACAAGGGTTGCTGAGAATGGAAGCTTCTGATTTCATTCTGGATTGTTCTCCCCTGACGCTGAGAGTCTTGTCTGCCTGCTTTGGGAATCTAATTCTAGTCTCTGATCTTCTGTTAATATTTCAAGGCTTCCAGCTTCAAGAAATCTACATTAGGGGCAGTAGCCCAGAGGAAGAAGACAGGTCCTAAACTTGAACTAACTGAAGACCAGAAGCAGGAGATCCGAGAGGCTTTTGATCTGTTTGATACCGATGGCACTGGGAACATAGATGTTAAGGAGCTAAAGGCAAGATTAAACTCAATGTTAAAGAGAAAAAGGACCTAGACGTATAGAGACTTAAACTAATTTAAGCTGGGGCAGAGGAGGGTTGATCCCTTTACAACACAAAGCCACTGCATCCCCACACAACTGCTATCTATCGCTCTTTGTGCTGTCCCCTTCTCCCATGAGTCTTTAGAGCTGGGTTGACAAAAATACACTCTGGAATGTAGTTCCAGGATGTCATGAGCTTTGTATGTGTTGGTAGAAGGTCAAAGGTTTTTGGTCATTATGAAAGCCACCTTAGGATCATACCATTCTGAAAGCCATTGTTAAAGAACATGCCCGTGTCATCATTTCTGTGTTTCTGTGACAGAGCAGATATTTGGGGCCTCCACCTCACTCGTTCTGCTAGGGAGGAGGATGATTAACCTTGTCTAGGATTTTCCTGCTTTCTACAGCTCCCTCTTCTGCTTCTCCAGTTTAAATCCCGCCACACTCAGAGGACCATGAAGAAAGGCAACCTCGTGGCGGGAGGGATAGCTCAGTCATTTGAGCATTGGCCTGCTAAACCCAGGGTTTTGAGTTCAGTCTTTGAGGGGGCCATTTAGGGATCTGGGGCACACAAAAAAATAAAAAAATCTGTCAGGGACGGTACTTGGTCCTGCTGTGAAAGCAGGGGACTGGACTCAATGACCTTTCAAGGTCCCTTCCAGTTCTCTGAGATAGGTATATCTCCATTTAAAAAAAAAAAAACACCTTAAAGTCTGCCATTTGTCTCTTCACCAGGGAATGCAAAAGCAGTGTGTGGAGGGGTGGGGAAACTCTCAAATATGCTTTTTGCAGTAATGCTTTCCTGAGGGGATTCTAAGGGCAGGTCCACACTGGGGCGGGGGATCGATCTAGGAAACACAACTTCAGCTACGAGAATAGCGTAGCTGAAGTCGACGTTTCCTAGATCGAACTAAATTTACTTACTTCGGGTCCACGCGGCGCAGGCAGGCTCCCCCGTTGACAGCGCTTCCTCCTCTCGGCGAGCAGGAGTTCCGCAGTCGACGGGGGAGCGCTTCTGGGATCGATCTATCGCGTCCAGATGAGACACGATAAATCGATCCCAGAAGATCGATGTCTACCCGCCGAATCAGGCGGGTAGTGTGGACCAGCCCTAAGTGTTTTTTCTACACTCTTTGAGAGAAATTTCCGTTATGTCAGTAGAATGTGGCAGGGGCTGAAGCAACTTCTATGTACGTGATAGACAAAACTAACTGTTCAGCTTTTTTAAAGGAGATTTATAGAGGAACCAGAATCCCAGCTGTTTTAGACTTCTTCTGGAGGTTTATGTCAAGGTGTAGACCCTAACTCCCTCTGAGCTTAAGTGCTGGTTGAGTTGAGGAGCACAGTAGATTGGAGTTCAGTACATTACTTGACATGATGGGATATTCTCCCTTGGGGTCACGTTCCTTGAAGGCTATGACCTTTCTTTTCCCTCCAGTTACCTCCCTAGAGGCTCCAGGAAGTCTGTATATCTAGTATATCTGAGGTTCCTCATCCTGAATGTAGTGTCCACATAATAATGTAGTGACCCTTTGACCAGTAGAATAGGAGAGCTCTGTGTTTTCCTGTACCCCATCCACACTTGATTTTCCGTAGAGAAAAGGTGGTCTTTTAGATCTGTTCTATTTGTTTTCCCAAACCTTTCACCTAACCAGAACACTTACCCGCTGAGTGGGTGTCCGAGTTCTAAGCCAGAAAGAGGGAAAACCCAGACCTCAGAAAGTGACTTAGAATGCTAAAGATCAAATGAATAAGATTAAAGACCTCAGGATCAGGGGGAACAATTTCTTACACAGCATGGGTGATGAGTCTTACATCTTCGGCTTTTTTCTTATGGGGGAAAGAAGGTCTGCAGAACACCAAGAACTTCTCTCTTCCATTAATTTCCCCCTTTACTGACTCCACTTCCTTGCTAGTACTGACTAGAGAAGGCTGGATGCAATATTCTCCAGGGCATGTCTAGAGAGCTCCTATACAAGCCGAAGGAGTTACTGTAAAGACATTCAGCTCTCTCCAGGTTGCTAAGTGTTATTAGGAGACCATTTTTCCATCACCTGCTCTTTGACCTTGCTGATTGCCTTGAGGAAAAAATACCTAATCTAACCACAGAGTGGCATAGTTTAACTTTTTTTCTTTCGTACTTCTATTTCCATTGCCCACTGAGGAGCTAATCTCTTTTCATTGTTTGCAGGTG